ATGGTAAGATCATAGACATTTCCTTACACGAATACCTGCAACATTGCTGATGCGGCGATAAACAATACTCACTCACACAAGATGTAACTCAAACAGAACAGTAATTTAAGTTGTTCTGTATACGCCAATCAACTGCTGCGCTACTGGTTTACAGTCGTCGAAGCGCTTATGTTGTTTTGTGCTAGTGGGTCCAGGGTCCGTTCTACATTAGTAATCTGAGCGCTCTTGTAACTCTTTATTGGAGTAAGGGAATGACGGGGGTCTTAGAGCTAAGATTACATGATGGAACAAGACTCGGGAATATTGGGACGTTAGTTTCTGTACACTAATACTCAAAACAAACATTCACACATCGATACGCGCCCGATCCCTGTCAAGGGGACTTAATTGGATGAGTCGTGTTGACTCATTTCGATTTTGTAAGCTAAACAAAAAAATGTGCTGAGATAATTTCGAGCCACACAGTGGCTCCAAGCGATAACACATTAACATCTGATCCGGCATACAGGGCCAGCTCATTCGATGGAGTCACGATTTCATCATGACGTCCTGTTTATGTGGATACATTGGAGACATAAAGAGGGTTTTGCAATTTGTTTAGGTTCCCCTGTCAAACTACAAACCTTTACCATTGGATTGTGGCTAACAATGACAAATATACACTTCAGCTGCTTGCAAATACTTGAAGTTTGTTTAAAGAAAATATGTTTATGTGGATACTGAACAGTTTTATATCATGGGAAGATGTTTCATTTAACTTCCAGATGCTATAAAATGGTGAATAATGGTTTGACAAAAATCAAACTGTTGCATGTGAATAATAACTCAATAAGAAACGTTGAGAACTCACAATTTATCAAGGTTACGCTAACTGGCTCTCTCTTTCGTGATCCATTATGTTGCTCTGGGCTATAAATTGTGAAACCAAAGAACATAGCTTTGCTCAGAAACAAATAATGTTTTTTCAAAGAATAAAAACATCAAGTACGTGAGTATTTGCAAGAATCTCTTTTCAATATGATAGCGAGTTGCGGGCGGCGCTTACTGACAATATATTACATGTTGGTCATGTGTTGAAGTGAGCCATTCTCTTCATATAGAGAACATACTATATTCTTGATAATATTTTTATATGTGGCAGCTGGTACTATATATATGTGAATACAATGATAAACATGCACACATGCACTGAAAAACTCTAATAGCTGTATTGTATCACATGCAGAGATACAACATTGGACAAGTCGCTGTAGAAAAGGGCAAGATTCGGTACCACATAATGCAATACTTCAGTAAATATATCTTCATGTCATCATTTACTTCTTCTCAAAGGTGTTTTTCCACCACAACTGTAACACGTTAACTGGAATGAGCTTTTTAAGATTACTTGCCTGAACAACTATTGTATGTTTCTGACTAGAGATTATTTTCAGACTCTTGGATGACTTATGTGACATTGTCTCTCTTTTGGAGAATTGAGGGATATAGAACAACTGGTAACTTACTGCCCAAGGATATAGTTGTGTGTCAGACTTAATGACTTACCGTGCATAACAATGCTGGGGTTCTTCTTCTAACTGATTACACAACTTCTTTGACGTCTGTATCTGTACGTCTAAGATAACTCTGTAATAACCCTGGCCTGACAGGCGAGGGATATTACGGACAGGGTATGACCTTCTCACCGGTGCCACCACCTGTCACTGAAGAGACCACGCCTTTCGGCACCTTTCGTAATAGCTGCATCTCAGGTTACATGTGGCACATAAAGGATGTTGTCAGTAGAGGCAAGTGAGTTTGAAGTTAATCTGTAGCAATTTAGGAGAGTGCTACAGTCGCTCCTCTCATGTGAGCTTCGTCATGGCGTTGTTTGACGTCATAACATGATGACGTCGTGTCATGGCATATTGATATAAAGTCGTAATCAAGGCTTATCTAAATGTAGAGTCAGAGAGTAGGTGAGTTGACTTTTAAGCTGCTTATCAGTTTAATTTTGGAGGAAAGCCCACAGTAAGTGACGTTTGCCTTCTTGGTAAAACCATGAACACGGGCATGAGAATATAAGCGACAAAGCCCTTTCCGTATAGATAAGATATCTCTGTTAAAAGTAGAGTCAATTGCACGATTCTGACTTTATCATGAGCTTCTGTCTGTGAATCACCATCAAATAGTATGATACCAGGTGTATGGGGGCGTATCTTGCCCCACCCTGGCACCCATCACAGATACATGCAAAGGCAAATCAATTGTTCACCTAAAACATGGGAACATATTCTACAAGTCAAAATAGGGAATTGCATCGGACATCATTTTTGTCACTGATGAATCATCTCTGGAAACCTCCACTTGTCTATCATAAAACGTTTTGAAGTTTACTGGGGCCCTGGATGTTGAGACCTTGATCAAGCAACTTTTGAACAAGAGTCGTATGACACTCTTTGAAATCTTTAGAGAAAGAGAATGCTGGATTGTACCTCAAAAGTTGTGAAATGTTGACACCAAAGGCATGATCATGAGCTGCTGGACCATTATAAGGGTGAATCGTTGTGTGTTTAAGGGGCGCAACGCTGTACAGCAAATTGAGGTGACAGTAGTCCACTTGACTGCCAAAAGCGATAATAGTTCAAGGCTCATTTCGACCTTTATTTCACGAACACACAACCATGACCTCGAAAATTACTCTGATTTCGTGACCGAATTCCATGGTTTTATGGACTTAGAATAAGCCATTCCGTCTGGTAGCGGTTTTACAAGGAGCGATTCTACTTTCTTCGCATTTGTGATTTATTGAATTATATAATGCTCGCTCGCATTCCTGGAGGCAATGGTCGGGAAGGAGAATAATGTAGATATTAGCATTCAGCAACGTAAAAATCAAATAGAAGTAATATATGTTACCCATAAAATCAACGCTTCCTTGTGCCTGATTGTAAATCAGCAATGCTGGAAGATTCCGAGGACAACTGTCACTGCCCCGCATTCAACTCTTTAAACATTGTTATATCCTTCAGGAATGACAATTTACATTGGGTTCTGCAAACGGCGTAGTTAATACACACTATTTCCAAAGTAATCGCCAAGGCATGTTTCGTGAAAATTGAAATTGCAATAAAGGGGAATATCGGTAATGAAGTATATTGCCTGGGATCAGGGCATGTGGGGCAGTAAATTGAAATTTTGTCTGCCGAATCAGCCGTTTTATATCGAAAGAATTCACAACTTCCGTAAATCACACGTAATCGGCCACTAAAACGCCCCGTTATGATTTGCTGCGAGATAAATGCGGCAATTGGTTCCGGTCGGGTCAATTCGGGGTCAAGTGGCAGCCATAGTAGAGCAAGAGGAACACGTTAACCAGTGGTTGTTTGATCGATCACATTTGACGCCATTGTTCAATTAGGTCCTGATGAGTTGCGGTGTAAATACTAAAAGATACTAGTTTCTGCGACGATTAATGACTTGTTGATTGTCTCGGCTTCTTCAATCAAGACATAAACTTGAAATAATAACTGTTAAACGTTGAAGAAAGTCAAAACATCTGTTGTGGTGTAGGGCGCCCATATATGCTCATTTCTTGATGAATGATAGAAATGTACTTTTACAAAACAGCAGGGGTGTGACTGCTATCGCGATCAAACGTTGGTGTTTATCATACACGTAGCCCACAATATGGGGTTATCCCTTTAACGCTCTAAATAACTATAACACATTTGGTAATCAAACAGATAAACATGTGAAGAATCCAACGGCATTGCACTTACAACTTTATCATTATCCATCTGAAAGAGAAAGTGATGTTTTATCATTCCCATCTGAAAGAGAAAGTGATGTTTTATCATTCCCCATCTGAAACTGAAAGTGATGTTTTATCATTCCCCATCTGAAACTGAAAGTGATGTTTTATCATTCCTCATCTGAAAGAGAAAGTGATGTTTTATCATTTCCCATCTGAAACTGAAAGTGATGTTTTATCATTCCCCCTCTGAAACTGAAAGTGATGTTTTATCATTCCCCCTCTGAAACTGATAGTGATGTTTTATCATTCCCCATCTGAAACTGAAAGTGATGTTTTATCATTCCCCCTCTGAAAGTGAAAGTGATGTTTTATCATTCCCCATCTGAAACTGAAAGTGATGTTTTATCATTCCCCATCTGAAACTGAAAGTGATGTTTTATCATTCCTCATCTGAAAGAGAAAGTGATGTTTTATCATTTCCCATCTGAAACTGAAAGTGATGTTTTATCATTCCCCCTCTGAAACTGAAAGTGATGTTTTATCATTCCCCCTCTGAAACTGAAAGTGATGTTTTATCATTCCCCATCTGAAACTGAAAGTGATGTTTTATCATTCCCCATCTGAAACTGAAAGTGATGTTTTATCATTCCCCATCTGAAACTGAAAGTGATGTTTGATCATTCCCCCTCTGAAAGTGAAAGTGATGTTTTATCATTCCCCATCTGAAAGAGAAAGTGATGTTTTATCATTCACTGTCTGGAAGTGAAAGTGATGTTTTATCATTCACTGTCTGGAAGTGAAAGTGATGTTTTATCATTTACCAGCAGTGTTTCAGTAATATCACAGCCTGTCAGCATGATTAGGCAGACAAGAGCGAATACCAGTACCCCTGAGTGAAGTAGCAGTTCTTGTTCCAGTCATAGAACTAAATCGACCAAATTCTCATTCTGTAACCATGCACGTCAGAAATGTAATTAATTTGGGAGTGACTTCTATACACATTGACATTGGCAATCAATGTAATACAAGCATAACGTTATGATGATCCACAATTCGAACAAACCGAATTGTTTTCGAAAAAAACAACCATCGGTGTTACTACCGATCGGCAGAACCTAGTCTATACTGCAACACTAAATTTTCAGACGGACTGGAAATACTTAAGTTGGCCAGACAATCCCGTGTCTGAAAACATTAAAGAACGACCCGCGCACATCGGCCATGTCCCAGAGGCATCTTTCGACTAGCAATGGGGTGCTTGGGCCTATGTGGGATACAGGTTAGACGAAATGTGCCCAAACAACCTTGAGCACCGGTATGTGGTTGTGCCGTAATATCTCTTGCCATCATCACGGATGGCTATGAATTGACCCTTGCCTGAGCAGCACCGGTGTGTGGTTGTGCTGTAATATCTCTTGCCATCATCACGGATGGATATGAATTGACCCTTGCCTGAGCAGCACCGGTATGTGGTTGTGCTGTAATAAATCTTGCCATCATTACGGATGGATATGAATTGACCCTTGCCTGAGCAGCACCGGCGTGTGGTTGTGCTGTAATATCTCTTGCCATCATTACGGATGGTTATGAATTGACCCTTGCCTGAGCAGCACCGGTATGTGGTTGTGCTGTAATATCTCTTGCCATCATTACGGATGGTTATGAATTGACCCTTGCCTGAGCAGCACCGGTATGTGGTTGTGCTGTAATAAATCTTGCCATCATTACGGATGGCTATGATTTGACCCTTGCCTGAGCAGCACCGGTATGTGGTTGTGCTGTAATAAATCTTGCCATCATTACGGATGGCTATGAATTGACCCTTGCCTGAGCAGCACCGGTATGTGGTTGTGCTGTAAAGCTCTTGCCATCATCACGGATGGATATAAATTGACCCTTGCCTGAGCAGCACCGGTATGTGGTTGTGCTGTAAAGCTCTTGCCATCATCACGGATGGATATGAATTGACCCTTGCCTGAGCAGCACCGGTATGTGGTTGTGCTGTAATATCTCTTGCCATCATTACGGATGGCTATGAATTGACCCTTGCCTTAGCAGTACCGGTATGTGGTTGTGCTGTAATATCTCTTGCCATCATTACGGATGGTTATGGATTGACCCTTGCCTGAGCAGCACCGGTATGTGGTTGTGCTGTAATATCTCTTGCCATCATTACGGATGGTCATGGATTGACCCTTGCCTGAGCAGCACCGGTATGTGGTTGTGCTGTAATATCTCTTGCCATCATTACGGATGGTCATGGATTGACCCTTGCCTGAGCAGCACCGGTATGTGGTTGTGCTGTAATATCTCTTGCCATCATTACGGATGGTTATGGATTGACCCTTGCCTGAGCAGCACCGGTATGTGGTTGTGCTGTAATATCTCTTGCCATCATTACGGATGGTTATGGATTGACCCTTGCCTGAGCAGCACCGGTATGTGGTTGTGCTGTAATATCTCTTGCCATCATTACGGATGGTCATGGATTGACCCTTGCCTGAGCAGCACCGGTATGTGGTTGTGCTGTAATATCTCTTGCCATCATTACGGATGGTTATGGATTGACCCTTGCCTGAGCAGTACCGGTATGTGGTTGTGCTGTAATATCTCTTGCCATCATTACGGATTGTTATGGATTGACCCTTGCCTGAGCAGCACCGGTATGTGGTTGTGCTGTAATATCTCTTGCCATCATTACGGATGGTTATGGATTGACCCTTGCCTGAGCAGCACCGGTATGTGGTTGTGCTGTAATATCTCTTGCCATCATTACGGATGGTTATGGATTGACCCTAGCCTGAGCAGCACCGGTATGTGGTTGTGCTGTAATAAATCTTGCCATCATTACGGATGGTTATGGATTGACCCTTGCCTGAGCAGCACCGGTATGTGGTTGTGCTGTAATATCTCTTGCCATCATTACGGATGGTTATGGATTAACCCTTGCCTGAGCAGCACCGGTATGTGGTTGTGCTGTAATATCTCTTGCCATCATTACGGATGGTTATGGATTGACCCTTGCCTGAACAGCACCGGTATGTGGTTGTGCTGTAATAAATCTTGCCATCATTACGGATGGTTATGGATTGACCCTTGCCTGAGCAGCACCGGTATGTGGTTGTGCTGTAATATCTCTTGCCATCATTACGGATGGTCATGGATTGACCCTTGCCTGAGCAGCACCGGTATGTGGTTGTGCTATAATATCTCTTGCCATCATTACGGATGGTTATGGATTGACCCTTACCTGAGCAGCACCGGTATGTGGTTGTGCTGTAATATCTCTTGCCATCATTACGGATGGTTATGGATTGACCCTTGCCTGAGCAGCACCGGTATGTGGTTGTGCTGTAATATCTCTTGCCATCATTACGGATGGTCATGGATTGACCCTTGCCTGAGCAGCACCGGTATGTGGTTGTGCTGTAATATCTCTTGCCATCATTACGGATGGTTATGGATTGACCCTTGCCTGAGCAGCACCGGTATGTGGTTGTGCTGTAATATCTCTTGCCATCATTACGGATGGTTATGGATTGACCCTTGCCTGAGCAGCACCGGTATGTGGTTGTGCTGTAATATCTCTTGCCATCATTACGGATGGTTATGGATTGACCCTAGCCTGAGCAGCACCGGTATGTGGTTGTGCTGTAATAAATCTTGCCATCATTACGGATGGTTATGGATTGACCCTTGCCTGAGCAGCACCGGTATGTGGTTGTGCTGTAATAAATCTTGCCATCATTACGGATGGTTATGGATTGACCCTTGCCTGAGCAGCACCGGTATGTGGTTGTGCTGTAATATCTCTTGCCATCATTACGGATGGTTATGGATTGACCCTTGCCTGAGCAGCACCGGTATGTGGTTGTGCTGTAATAAATCTTGCCATCATTACGGATGGTTATGAATTGACCCTTGCCTGAGCAGCACCGACAAATCTACACAAACCAATTAACCTTCTACACTTTGTTTTTTCTTGAAAGTTATCAAAAGAAATCAGGATACGCGAGGTGATCAAAGACTTACAAAAACCAGAGGCCAGTTGAAGGAAGACGTTTGTAAAGTTATGCTTCTTTGAAACGGGGTGTCTCGTCTTCATGGGCAATTTCGTCCTTGAGCTGTGCTCTGACAACAATATATTGCAAGTTGAGCAGATTATATTGATCGCCACAGTGCATAATAGACACCTAATTTGCAATAAATCAAGCCCTAGCGGGAATACAATCAAGTGTATAGGCAAATCATATACACGAATCCTGTCTTAGCACCAGTATCAATATGTCACGGTCAAGCAAGTTTACAGAGATTCGGGCCATAAAAATATATCGAATAAAACGTTATTTTCGAAAAGATAACGTTTTCAGCTGGATGTTTTACAATATAATGAACTGGCCACAAGAGCCAGACATATGAGTATCTCCATACGTTGGCAAGAAGCTGTCTGGAATTGTTTTGTTGAGGGATTAGGTGGAAAAGGTAAAGGTTTATTATGTTGACACGGTGGCATTTGTCTGAGGTAGAAATTCAAATAAAGTCTTTTGAAGCTCGGTTGTCACAAATGTATATACATCCGACTATAAATTGTTGACGTATACAGAACGTGGATATCATATTGTCATTTCATGGGCGGTAGTAGATCCGAAAAGAAACTGTTGGTTAGTGTCTGGGGAATGCATTAGGCTGATCAATCTGGTGTGGTCTGTTAGGTAAGCGTATCAACACATCTACCAGCACCTCATTATGGCTAACATTTGAAATTTCCGGTATTGCTTCCCCGTAGTGTTTCCGGGGAAAACAGCTAACTGATAGTAACCCTGTTGTGTGAATTGCGTCTGTTCAATTTGAATATCATATATCCCAGCGGGAGAAGATATATCTTTTCGACAAATTATGTGCATGTACTACCAAAATAATTATGAATATTAACAAATTACAAACTTTTGATGAACGAATAAGTTCTTTGTCTTCAGGGCAGCGAATTGCAGTTCCCGGTTTCCTTAGGGCAGCGAATTGCGGTTCCCGGTGTCTTCAGGGCAGCGAATTGCAGTTCCCGGTGTCTTCAGGGCAGCGAATTGCAGTTCCCGGTGTCTTCAGGGCAGCGAATTGCAGTTCCCAGTGTCTTCAGGGCAGCAAATTGCAGTTCCCGGTGTCTTCAGGGCAGCGAATTGCAGTTCCCGGTGTCTTCAGGGCAGCGAATTACAGTTCCCGGTGTCTTCAGGGCAGCGAATTGCAGTTCCCGGTGTCTTCAGCGATTCCTCACACTTTGACACATTTGTGATTCAACTGTAATTAGGAGGAGTTCAAAACTCGTGGATTGTAGCAATGACTTGCGCAATGGGCGAGCAGACCTTTTCTAAGCTTACGTCTCTCAGCCTTAATTTCATCCCGTTATTACCTCATAAGTGCAGCATAATATCTTCCGTTTATTGTCTGGCCTTTTGGAAGATAGTCCACCATGATGACACCCTCGGCATCTCAGAACACGGAAGCCATAAAGTGTCCAGCTGATGGGACAGTCTTAACCTTCTTTGGTGGTGGTCATGTCAAAGACTTCCACTGTTTTGCTTGTTATTTGAACTCCGACTAGAAGTGGTGAATCCAGGTTTCATCCATGGCCACAAATCGTTGGAGGAACATTTCTGGATTATCACGACGTACGTTGTGCCTGGGGCTTTGGAACACAACAAGCTGATAACTTCCTCATTGCCAAAGTTTCTGTGATAATGCAATGTGCCTACTGAACTAGCAGCATGACGCTCAGTCATTCGCCGATCGTCCATCACCATATCGTATATCATTTCTCTCCTTCCCTGGCGTTGTTCACATATTTTCATGGATGGCTCCTGGGGTTACCCCTTTGTCTGCAAGTACTTTATTACTGGAGATTCCTTAAGTTTGTCCATTTTTCAAAGGAAACAGATACCTGCTTATTTTACTGGCTTATCACCGCGAAAACATTTGCTCAATTGATTTAGCGTTTGTGGATATACCTCTATGACATGACATACCACTATAAAAAGATTTAACTATTACGTAAAGCCTTCTTCGTGAGGCTCGGAACTAATCAACCCTGGTAGGTCAACGACCAGAACGTCTCCTTATACCATGAAAAGTATAGCATCAAGGAAGCGCAAGAACATGGAGGTCAAAGAGGTCACTGTAGGATGGACAATATGGCATCAAAGAAAACGTGTAGGCACGTCTTTCTATATGACGGTTGACGCTGCCGCTGAAGACTCTTGCTCTTTTATTTACCCGACTCAAGGGGCGTCAAAGGTTACCAAAAAAGTTTTGTTGTGAACATGTGGGGAAAATTTCCAAATCTGACCCATCAGTAAACAAAACCATGTCTGATGCAATTCCATATTTTGTCTTGTCTTGTAACATATGTTCCTGTGTCTGTTCAGGTGAACTCTTGGCTTGCATTAATTTGGCACACACCTGGTAATATCACTTTTAGATAGTGTCTTACACATGATCATTATATAGGCGGAATGCATTCTGCTTTTACCAAATATTGCTTATGATCATGGAAAAGTTGTTTTATCGTTTTACGTTCTACATTTCTTCTACCTTACATCGTATAAATCCTTCTATTATCGCCAGACGTGTCTTCAGCTATATCCCAGTCTTTGGTTCTAATTTAATTTTTGTCATGTTGCTGGCAGTGTACTGGCAGTGTTTTTTGTCATTGCTCGTAACTTAAATCGACCTCCCTTACATATTCATCAATCACATGTGAGTTCATTTGTAAATATCATTAATTATGTATGACGCAACACGCCGACTGCTATGCCATATCACATGTCAGCTTTGTTTTTTCTGCTGAAAGTGTGAGCATTAAGCATAGATGGCATCATTTTTTCAGTATTATCACCGAGATGGTCCTTTTATGTTCAGCTGTTATAGATCCGTATTTACAATTTGACTTAACAGCTTACACTTCACATACATTCGCCTTTAGAATTGCTTCTATTTTTACTTCATTTACATCCGACCGTATGTCCTAAAGTCATTCCGGCAGCTGTAATCTTTTTCATCGGTTCTGTCCTCATTGATTTCTTACAGTATAAGGGAAAAACACATTCTCTTTTTCAGATATATTGAACAATTTGTTCATCGATACGTAGGGCCTTTTGTTTTTCTTCCAATCAAATATCTGAAACATATCGATTAAGATAGCGTTCGATGCTCTCAACAAGACCAAGTGTCAACCAAGCGAAGTGCCACATCAAATCGGCCCAGACTCAGTTTTTCAAGGAAAGGCTATCTGAAGGATCACTGCATGGAGATAATGTGTAATGTGTTGTGAAGATCAGCAATCCTGCTAAGGACGATTCACTTCCCACTCGAAACCGTCAATTTGTGATTTTGCATCAAAATTTTAATATGAAATGTAGATGTAATGAGACTGTCCAACACATTGTCAGTGGATGCCCGGCTTTGGCACAAACACAGTATCTTAAGCGACATGATGGTGTAGCTCGATCATTGGTCCATCTATGGTACGACCCGAAATATGTGGAGGGTTTCATGGAAAATGATAAATACAATTTTTTGGGGAAAAGGCCCGTTTATAGCCTCAGACGTATCCAGGCCAACAAACTTGATCTTGTCCTTTTTGAAAAATCCAATGAAATCATTTATATCATTGAATTTTCGGTCCCTTTTGACACTGTGATTTGAAAGATTCAGCAAAAACATGGCAAATATGCGGACCTCGTTTTCGAAATGTCACGCTTGCATCCCAAGTACATGTACCAAGCTGTCTGACTCCAAAATTGTTCTCGGTGCCTTAGGTTTGGTACCTCCCAATCTGTTGACTGACATTAGGAGAGTACACGGGTTTGCTACCAGGAATACAGCCCTTCTGACAATCTGGGTAATGCAGAAGGCTGCAGTGTTGGGGAGTCTTCACATTCTCCGAAAAGTTCTGATTGGGTTTGACAGATAGCGCTTCTGAGAGAAGACCCTATCGTTTTCTCGGCTGCGGGTAGAGATTAATAATAAATAATAATTATAATATGCCATAGCCACACCTTTAAGCATAATCAAACTGCTACATTATTACCCAAATGGAATAGTGTGCGCTCGATTTTCATTCTCATATACCTTGGGGCGTATTAAACCTATGGTTATTTCAACCATTTTCTTCCAACTTCAAATTCTGATAACTGTGAGTGTATGCGTGGGGTTTAACGCCGCTTCGGACAGTATTCTAGTTGTATCACGGTGTGCCATCTTGATGTGGGAGGAAAGTTCGAAGTGATGTATGTCTAGGCGTTTACCACTTTGGTTAAACCAACGAGAACGGGTTGGTGCAGACAAACCTCGAAACATAATGAGGTCGAATCTGGATTTCTCAAGAAAATGGAGCATATTAATAAATACGTTATCATCCAAAACTGGCTCCCACAGGAGATATCGCTTGGGTGAGATCAAGCGATATCTACACTGTAGATATCGCTGCAATGACATGGCATCACAATGCTTTGCAGACAATTGTGACGTCATTGGTTACCATGACGTCACAATCAAAGGACA